CATTCAGCCCTAAACCCTAAGCCCTAAACCCTGAACCCTAAACCCGATCCACATTTGTTTATGCCCAGTCCTTGAATCACAGCCCGCATCGCGTAGCTCGTGGACCTGGAGGCAGCAGTAGGTAGAGGTTTTAGGGTTTAGGGTTTAGGGTTTAGGGTTTAGGGTTTAGGGTTTAGGGTTTAGGGTTTAGGGTTTAGGGTTTAGGGTGAACAAGAACTGCCGAGCCCCTCAACAGCGCAGCCAACAGCTTGTAAACCCCTGGCGACGGCCCATGAAATATCTCAATGTAGCCAACCCTGCACCCAATGTTGAGGGTTTCAGGTCTGGGGTTTTGAGGGTTCTGGGTTTAGGGTTCCGGGTTCTGGGTTGAGGCTTTTCCGGAGCAAGTCATAGAACAGAGCATCAAGGGGAAGTGGACAACACGCTGGGCTCCAGTTTCTGGTCACGACTTGTGACTTGTGATATCTATTGAAGGCAGCTCCGGCGGGGCAGGGATTTTATTCATGACATGCGCCTGAAAGCCGAGCTCCATGAGTGCCTGCAGTGCGCTAGGAATAACACGGGCACCTTTTTTGGATTTCAGGGGGCATATAAGGAAACCTAAACCCGAAACAAACCCGAAACAAAAGGAATCAGGGCCTTCTCTGGGTCCTAGTTGCGGTAAAGAAACCGTCAACCCCCCCACAGAAGGATGAAATCATGGCTTGGCTCGGTGTCCAAGGTTGGCTACGTTCGGGTTGTTGGAAGGAGACTGCAGGGTACTAGTACTGCAAAGCTGTAAACAAGACAGGGGTTTAGGGCTTGGGGTGTATAATATACACATTTAGGCCGGCAGTCATGGGATCATCTAGGGTTTTTCTATTTTCAAGCAGCTTGCTCACAGCCCGGGAGAATTGCGTCATAACGCTCTCTCTCTCTCTCTCTCTCTCTCTCTCCCTCCCTCTCACTCTCTCTCTCTCCCTCTCTCTCTCTCTCTCTCTCTCTCTCTCTCTCGCTCTCGCACGTCTGCATACATGTATATACACATTTAGGCCGGCAGTCATGGGATCATCGCTTGCGTTCACAGACAACTCCGCCAATGCACGCGCATCCAGTGTCTCCTGTCCTTTTTTGGGGTGTTCAACGTTGTCTTGTGGGGAATGCCCGGCTGCCGGGGCGGGTGAGGATCCTAAGAGCAAACGGAGACAACAAAAATGAAACATGGAAACGCTATTTGTTGTAGTCGCCCTATATATTATGGAGGGCGAATTCAACATTTCATTGTAGGGTGGTTACACTCGGCATTTAGCAAGTTCGAGCCACGATGTTCTAGATAATTCAAAATGAACGCACTTTCTTGGCAAGGAGTTAGCTGCACGGGAGTGCGGTAAAGAGATGACCTCAGAGACATAGAACGGAGCCGTCCGCATCAATCTGCAATACTTCAGAGAATGATGATGCCGCTTTCCCATGAGCAGGTGCCGCTCCCATATCTTACAGTTTCGGTGATGTGAAAGCCTGAACCCTAAACCCTAAATCCTAAAAATTCCAGATAGACGCTGCGTGCATTTCCCCAAGCCTTCCTTTTGTTGTGCCACCCACACCGGGCATCAAGTCTGCTCGAGGACAGGCCAAGGTCAACTGCTGCAGCACTTCTCGCATGGGCGGACGGACTAAGGCGAGGGCAAGAATGGGGTTTAGGGTTTAGGGTTTAGGGTTCAGGGTTTAGGGTTTAGGGCCTAAGGGTTTAGGGTGTAGGGTTTAGGGTCGCTCCAGCCTATTGTTAATGGCAAGAAGAAGAAGAAGCAGCAATTCACGAGTCTCTCAGCAGAAGCTTCTTCTAAAGACCGTAAAGCCTATAGCTGCAATCGGCAAACCCTGCAAGTTCCACTGTGAGAGACTCAACTCTAAATCTTCAGGAACTCCTCAAAACCCTGAAGGCCCTAAACCCTAAACCCTAAACCCTAAACCCTAAACCCTAAACCCTAAACCCTCAGACTCGAGTGGGCTAGGTCTTTGAGCTGACGGTTTAGTTGGGGACTGACTTGATGTAGACCAAACTGAAACCACTCACAAGGTTTAGGGTTTAGGGTTTAGGGTTTAGGGTTTAGGGTTTGGGGTTTAGGGTTTATGGCCAGTGCTCTGAATCATAGTTCCTCTTGTTGCTATATTGCGTATCCTCTTAAGACCTGACCACGTGCTGTCGGATTGTCTGTTCCTCTGCATGGCCTACACACACACAACTGTACTCCACGAACCTCAAGCCTGAACTGGCCTGAACCCTAAACCCTAAACCCTAAACCCTAAACCCTAAACCCTAAACCCTAAACCCTAAACCCTAAACCCTAAACCCTAAACCCTAAACCCTAAACCCTAAACCCTAAACCCTAAACCCTAAACCCTAGACCCTAACCCTCAAGCCCCAACTTACGGCCCCCAGGTTCGGGCTCCCCATTCCTACACCTGAAGGGTTAAGGCCATACAGGGTTTTAGGTTTAGGTAGGGTTTAGGGCTTAGGGCGGAGGCCCTAGGGTGTAGGGTTTAGGGTCTAGGGTTTAGGGTTTAGGGTTTGGGGTGAGGGGTTTGGTGTTTGGGGCTTTAGGGTTCAGGGCTTTCAGGGTTTTAGGCTTAGGGGTGTGAGGGGAGACTTGGGGAACCCTACGAATCACCACGTTGCAGGAAGCCGTTTTGCCTGTACCGGGGCCCCTAAGCTATGCCCCTGGAGCCCTAAAGCGGCCACAACCTCAGGATTGAGGGGCTTTAGGGTTTAGGGTTTAGGGTTTGGGGTTTAAGGTTTAGGGTTTAGGGTTTAGGGGCTTGAGGGTTTAGGGTTCTAACTTAAGAGCACTGCAAGTAGAGTGCTTAGCTGCGACTTGCTTCTGCAACAATAGCACGAGCATCATCCTTAGGGTTTAGGGTTTAGGGTCACCGGGTTTAGGGTTTAGGGTTTAGGGTTCAGTGCTTTGCCAGAAACAACTCGAAATATGTGGCATACGTCCTGAGTCAAAGAGTGTCTCGCACCCTACACCCAAACCCAAAACACTTAACAAGGGTGAACGCCGACCCCGAACCCCTTTCATTCCTGAACTCCCAAAACCCTAAACCCTAAATCCTGAACACCTAACTCCTGAACCCGCAAACTAGGGTTTAGGGTTTAGGGTTTAGGGTTTAGGGTTTAGGGTTTATAAGGGTTTAGGGTAAAGGACCCCACACCCTGACCCCAAGCTCTTGAACCCAAGAGCCCATAAACCCCAGAATGCCCTGAGCCCTGAACAGGGTCTAGGGTTTAGGGTTTGGGTTGGGGTTTAGGGTTTAGGGTTCTTAGTTGCTGAGTTCATAGGCCCCCAGAAAGTGTACACTTTCAGTTCCATAGGGGCTTATAGTATCCTCAAAAGTGCAAAGTGTACTCGCTCAGCTACTAAGGACGGTCTAGGGTTTAGGGTTTTGGGTTTAGGGTTGAGGGCTTCATGCTGGGCAGGGTGCCAGTACAGTGGTGCCGATTTCCCGCAGCTCCCGCGCCGAGAAGCCAGCAGCCTGATTGGTTTGGGGTGTTAGGGTTTAGGGTTTAGGGTTTAGGGTTTAGGGTTTAGGCTTTAGGGTTTAGGGTTTAGGGTGTAGGGCGTAGGGTTTAGGGTTTAGGGTTTAAACTTAATATAAACACTCTACTTAAGAAGGACCGAGATAAGGGACCACACCAACAGCCCAGGATTCCGACCTTAGAGAATGGTTTCGGGTGTTGGGGTTTGGGGTTTGGGGTTTAGGGTTTAGGGTTTAGGGCTAGGGTTCAGGGTTTAGGGTTTAGGGTTTCGGGTTTCGGGTTTAGGGTTTAGGGAAATTCCCCCCCCCCCCTTAGTTGTAAGTAGACTGATAAGGCCCTAAGTGGGTGATAAGGGATCCTAACTTGCGTTGTAAGACCGTTACATTCCAGGACCCCTCCCTGTAGGGTTCTTGTAACCCTAAACCCAACACCCTAAACCCTAAACCCTAACCCTAAACCCTAAATCCTAAACCCTAAACCCTAAATCCTAAACCCTAAGAGCCCTAAACCCCAAACCCTAACACCTACTTAAGAACAATGTCACCCCGAAGTGGGCCCTACTAGCCTGCAACCGGCTTCCCTGACGCCAGGGGGTGCGGGGGGAGAAAGTGCGGGTGGCTGCGGCAACGCCCGCTAGCCGACTCCGACCTGCTACCTCCGACCTCCGACCTCCTACCGACCTTAAACCCTAAACCCTAAACCCTCAACTTCTCAACCCTCAACCCTAGACCTACCTAGGCCTTCAAGCGACGCAGGGCTGACAGTTTCAAGTCTTGGGCTTAGGCATGGATCTCCCCAAACCCGAAACTCCAACAAGCCGCCCCTAAAAGCCACAAATCCAGATCTTCCTCCATAAACCCTAAACCCTAAGCCCTAAGCCCTAAACCCTAAACCCTAAACCCTAAACCCTAAACCCTAAACCCTAAACCCTAAACCCTAATCCAAGCACACCCCACCTTCAGCTCCTCTCCAGTAAAGAGCTCCTGCGCTCGCGGGGACAATGAGCTCAGCTTCCCAACGAGGAGAAAGGGCCAGGGTTATGCAGGCTGGTGGTCTCTCTATCTGTTCCATAAACTACCCAATATGGCCCCTACATACCATCATAAGGATCCCTATATCTACCCCTTTCGAAAACAGAAACCCGAATTAAAGAGACCACCAACCTGCTTAAGACTAGGGCTTTAGGGTGCATAAAACGCTTTGGGTTTTGGGTTTGTACTTCGTAACCCTTTTTTGGGGGCCCTTGTTTGCTCTGCGTCTAGATCTTTGCGGTTTCACTGGACCGAGCAAAGAGACCAGACTAGACCCTAAACCGACATTGCATAGGGTCACAAACCCGCATAGGACATGTCAAAGAAAGTGGTGGGCACACTTCTCTTGTGAAGTGCAACTGTCTGATGAAGGTCAGATATCTCACTCAGCCTGATCCCTATTCCCCCCCTTCCTTCCCCGTAGAATCGTATGCAAGGGCCCTCGGATGGAATTTCCGAATGCCGGCTTGACCTCAGCCCTGAGCCCCCTCACACGGCCCGAACCCTACACCCTAAACCCTAAACCCTGAACCCTAAACCCTAAACCCCAAACCCCAAACCCTAAACCCTAAACCCTAAACCCTACACCCTAAACCCTTATAAACCCCAATCCTGAAGTTGCCCTAAGCCCTACACCCTTAGCCGCTCCAGAATCGGGATGTCAGCTTGGTGCAACTCGCGCGCTGAGAAGCCCATCTCCTGCACAGAGATCAGTGGAGGAGGATGTTGTTTAGGTTTAGGGTTTAGGGTTTAGGGTTTAGGGTTTAGGGTTTAGGGTTTAGGGTTTAGGGTTTAGGGTTTAGGGTTTAGGGTTTAGGGTTTAGGGTTTAGGGTTTAGGGTTTGGGGTTTCGGGCTTGAGGAACCCAAAGCCGGGTGTCCATCTTGGTGAGATTCGCCCTAAAACCTGAACATTGAACCCTAAACCCTAAACCCTAAACCCTGAACCCTAAACCCTAAACCCTAAACCCTAAACCCTGGGACCTCGACATTTCAAGCGATGTCGGTTTAGGTTCTGGGAGGCTGGGATTCTGGTCACGTAGGGCCTTTCACACGCCTTCATCAAAAGTCAGGCGATAGTATCAACCAAGCCCGTGAACTTGAACCCTAGATTGTAAGCCCCGCCTCAACTCTAAACCCAAAACCCGAAACCCCAAGCCGCACAACCTAAGCCCTAAACCCAAAACAAACCCTAAACCCTAAACTCCACCCGGGGCCTTCAGCTCCTGGCCGGCGAAGCCAGCCTGGCATGCTCCCTCAGCCTCTCAATTGCAATCCTCTGAGGCGCATATTGGGTTTTGTGCGTTTCTTCTATGATGCTTATACAAGAGATTTGTACTACAGCTTCCCGAAAACTCACGTCAAACCGATCCAGGACACAAGAGTCCTGCTGGCATCGCGAACAAGGTCTGGACGTAGGCTCAGGGTTTCGAGGATTCACCCCGCACCATATAGCCATATAGCAGCTGAACTTGTGGAGAGTGTTCGAACTTCTAGAGAGAAAATAGCCTTGCGTAGAGAAAACGGACTTGTATAGTTGAATGATGAGGTTCGCAGAACAAAAGAATGTAATTTAGAAACAACAAATCATGGATTTCCCTACTACCCCCCCCTCCACCATAAACCCCACATCCTAAGCCCCTTGAGGCCCCCAAACCTGCACTTTGGGGGTTTAGGGTTGCTATACTGAACTTGGAACCCTAGCACAAAAAATGAATTTCGGCTGTTTCTTAGGAATTGCAGTACCCAAAAATGAAAAAAATGTTCCCAAGGATCCCTAAGGTTGGGTTTAGGGTTTAGGGTTTAGGGTTTAGGGTTTAGGGTTTAGGGTTTAGGGTTTAGGGTTTAGGGTTTAGGGTTTAGGGTTTAGGGTTTAGGGTTTAGGGTTTAGGGTTTAGGGTTTAGGGTTTAGGGTTTAGGGTTTAGGGGCTTAGGATGGCCTTCCTCAGCTTCTCAGCGATGCGGCGCTTGGACCTCAGGGCGGGAGAAGGGGTTTAGGGTTTTGGGTTTAAGGATTTAAGGGTTTAAGGGTTTAAGGGCTTAAGGGCTTAAGGGTTTAAGGGTTTAAGGGTTTAAGGGTGTAAGGGTTTAAGGGTTTAAGGGTTTAGGTGCAATCCTGCTTCCTTGTTGCCAAATCCAAGTCCTTGCCTTACTTTTCAGATATATACTCTGGTGACTCTGGTGGATAGTTGAGTCGGGCAGTCCCTGACAACAGCCCAGCGCCCACTACCTAGGCCTAGACTCGTAAACCTAGACCGGGAGCAAGCATGGAAAGGCAAGAAAGACAATTTAGGATTAAGCCGGCCTTGAAGGTCATTTCACCATAAAGCTTGAGGTGTAGGAGGTGGCACCATCCATCTTTGTAGTTGGTTACCATCTTCAGCAGACGGCCGCAGGCTGGCTCGCTTGCGCTGTCGGCCGTGCTGAAGCACAGCAAACAGCAGCCTGTCTCAGTCTGGGCATCAAAGTCTGTGAAAACCAGATCGTGGCTGTCCACCAGCCTAACCCCCTCTTCCTAAACCCTAAACCTAAACCGCTTAAACCCTTGACCGCCTAAACCCCATAAACCCTGAACCCTCAACCCGAAATCCTAAAGCCTAAACCCTAAACCATTTAAACCCTAATCTGAGCCTAGAGCTTATAGCCGCCTAAAGCCCATAGTCCCTGCTCACGCCAGGCGCACAGCTTAGCAGCTAAGCTGGCTAGAATGGACCAGATATTACCAATTCGTCTGCAGAAGTAGAACGCCACGGTTTAGGGTTCAGGGTTTCGGGGTTTAAGGGTTTAAGGGTTTAGGGGTTCAGGTTCAGGGTTTAGGTTCTAAGGGTAGTTACAAGGCGCCGGGAGTTTAGGGGTTAGGGTTTAGGGTTTAACTAGGGTCCAGGGTTTAGGGTTTATGGTTAGGGTAGTTCCGGTCCCTTGGTATGCGCCCTTAACAGTGGACCCCGCCTATACCCCCTTCAAGGGAAGGTAAGGGACAATATAAAGGGACCATGTAACTACCCTTAGATAGGTATTGTGGTTGGGTTCGGGGTCTGGCATCCGAGCATGATGATGCGAAAGGAAGAGGATCCCTCCACAGGCGTGTTTGCTTGAAAGGACAAGACGTAGGAGAGAGAGAGAGAGAGACAGAGGGATCTAGGACAGGGCTGCATGAGGCGAAAGCTCAACTCAGTTTTGCCGAATGCCAAAAAACTCTAAACCCTAAACCCACTGCCTAGGTGCAACTTCTGAGGCTAGCAGGGGCGAAGAGTTTAGGGTTGGGGCTCGGCTCCGACACCCCCCAACCCTGAACCCGAAACTACTTGACCCCTCCAAATCCCAAACTCTATACAGGATGTTCCCCCTTAAACTAACAGTCCTGAGAACCCCAAACCCTACCCTGAACCCTAAACCCCAAACCCTAAACCCCAAACCCTAAACCCCAAACCCCAAACCCTAAACCCCAATGACCCCAAACCCTACCCTAAACCCCAAACCCTAAACCCCAAACCCTATACATCTACACAGATGAGGGCAGCCCAGGCAGCCGGAGCTCAAAGGCCAAACACTTCAAGTCGCGAAGCACTTGCCTTTGCAGCGGTTTAGGGGTTTAGGGGTTTAGGGGTTTAGGGTTTAGGGTTTAGGGGTTTAGGGTTTAGGGCTAGACTTGGGCGGGGGAAGGATTTTACCGGAAAAAAAACATACAAACAAAACGAAAAAAGCTAAACCTAGAACCTAAGAACTAAAGCCTAAGCCCTTCAAACGACTAGACGTGCTTAGGGTTTTTTAAACCTAAGCCCTAAACCCTAAACCCGTAAATAGAAGAAACCACAAATAGGATTTAGGGTTTAGGGTTTAGGGTTTAGGGTTTAGGAGAGCTTTTTTGGGTTTAGAGGGCCTGAGCGTGTGGAAAGGCCCGGCCTTCGGCCGGCCACTTTCTTCTTTCAAAGGCTCAGGTGAGAGAGGGTTCAGGATTTAGGGTTTAGGGTTTAGGGCTAGGGTTTAGGGTTTAGGGTTTAGGGCTTAGGGCTTGGGGCTTAGGGTACAGGGTTGGACGGGTTGGACGATTGGAAATTCGGTGTCCCGGAAACGATACCAACAAAAGGATTCCAGCCTCTAAAGAAGTGGAGCTCTCAGAGCTTATTTCGTCTCTAAGGATGGCAGTGAGCCCTGCTAGGATGCCCAGTAACCTAGGATGAAAGAGGGTGACCCCTTTTTTGCTTAAAGGGGTTTATAAGGGAACCTAGGCCTACCAAAAAGGGAATAAGGGTACTAGTGGGCATCCTAGCCTAAACCCAGGCCCTACAAGCGGGTAGGTTAAGTCACATCTTTGCGCGTGAAGTCACATCTCCCCAGTGACACGCGGCTGCGAGCGAAGTCACACCACCCCGCGTAAAGTCGCATCACAGAGACATATGTTGAAGCCTTCTCCCCAATATGCTCGCGCCGCAAGCGCATGTTGTCGACACACATGCAAAATACGCACTTGTCACCGCACGCCTGGGAGGGAGTCGGAGGGAGCACATTTTGTCAGCGTGACTGAGATTTCTGCTTGGGGGTGCAAGTGGGTTCTGACCAATCTTAGAATTCGCGAGCGCGCGCGCGCGCGCCCGAGATACGACCTTACACATGAGATACGACTTGACCTACCCGCTTCAAAACCCTAGCCCTAAACCCTAAACCCTAAACCCTAAACCCTAAACCCTAAACCCTAAACCCTAAACCCGAAGCCCCGGATCCGGAGCAATGCGTCTGAAAGGCAGGTGCGCGGAGCCAGAGATGGCGAGAGCCTTAGAACACCCCAAGCACTCAACGGTTTTTATAAAGTTTAGGGTTTAGGGTTTAGGGTTTAGGGTTTAGGGTTTAGGGTTTAGAGTTTAGGGTTTAGGGTTTAGGGTTGAGGGTTGAGGGTTGAGGGTATTTGAGGAAACGGTAGTTAAACCACAAAGCTCTAAAGCCTGAAACCCTAAACCCTAAACCCTAAACCCTAAACCCTAAACCCTAAACCCTAAACCCTAAACCCCAAGGGCATGGACCCGGGGCCATCTTCTGCCCTCACGCCCTGTCGGAAGGATCCCCAGTCTGGAGGCACCTCTTCAGCTTCTTCGGGTTTAGGGTTTTGGGTTTTAGGGTTGTTAGGGTTGTTAGGGTTGTTAGGGTTGTTAGGGTTGTTAGGGTTGTTAGGGTTGTTAGGGTTGTTAGGGTTGTTAGGGTTGTTAGGGTTGTTAGGGTTGTTAGGGTTGTTAGGGTTGTTAGGGTTGTTAGGGTTGTTAGGGTTGTTAGGGTTTTAGGGTTTGGGGTTTAGGGTTTAGGGTCTAGGGTCTGGAGGCACAATCGCCTGGAGCAAGTAAGTCTCAGGGTACCCAACAAGGGTCACAAGTATGGAACACCTATACCCTAAACAGCCCTAAACCCTAAACCCTAAACCCGAAACCCTAAACCTGAAACCCTAAACCTGAACCCTAAACCCTAAACCCTAAACCCTAAACCTAAACCCTAAACCCTAAACCCTAAACCCTCCTAAGCGCCCTATAACGGCGAGAGGCGAGGCGGATCGCTTCCGCACGCGTGGCCACCAGGCTCCCAAGCGTGTCGACCGTTATCGGGGTCAAGGGCGAAGTACCTCAGCAACCCTAAACCCTAAACCCCAAACCCCAAAGGGTCTGGGCTCATGTATATGTGGATTCAAGGCTTAGGGCTTAGGGCTTAGTGTTTGGGGTTTAATTAGAACGCGGGTTTAAGATTTTTAGGGCTTCGGGCTTGTGGTTCTACAGGGTCGTCCAACTGCATGATCCCTTCGGGTCAACGGTCAAAGTATCTACTACCCTAGACCCTAAACGCTAAACCGCAGGGAGTTCCCAAAAGTGTGGCGTCAATTGTTGGGACCCTCAATATAAGGCTCCGCATTCGCCCTGAACCCAAAAACACCCAGGTTGATCATGCAAATGATGGTGTTGTGTTTTGGTGGGTTTCGGGTGTAGGGTTCAGGGTTCCATTTCGGTCCTCGAACTGGATGCCCGAAGGTGTTCGAGTTCTTGTACAAGCTGTTGAGCGGTTACGTGCTCTAAAGCCCAAAGTAACCCAATCGGGTCTGGGTTTAGGGCTCCACCTGAAGCTCGGGGGCAATTTGGGGCTCAGGGTAGATTCAGAACGTCCCTCCCCCCTCGCACTGCGGACAAGATGCTCTTGGCCCACTCGACAGTCCTTTCCAAGCTCTTCCTCCAGCTGAAGCTGTTTTGTGTACAGGACGCGGTTTGGGGTTTGGGGTTTAGGGTTTAGGGTTTAGGGTTTAGGGTTGAGGGACCGAGGTCTTGGGCTGGATTGACCAGAAGCAAAAATGGCCTTTCTTGTCGGATTCACCCGCATCCTTTCCTCAAAACAACATGAGAATGAAAGATGCCTAGCTGTTCAAGGCTACTCACTGCACACCAGCCCCTGTCTGCTATGCACCCTTCTTTTACCGCAAAGGTTCGGGGCTTGAGGGCGCCAAGTCGTGCTGTCGCCTATTCCCGTGCCCATTGCATTTCCCAAATTCCTAAACCCAGAACCCGAAACCCTGCCCCGGTTGCGTGCACGTCTAGAGAACTCCTCGCAACTTTCCCCGGACGTGAACCCTGAATGAACTCTACAAACCTCAAACCCTGAACCCTGACTCTGAGCCCCACTCTAAACCCTAAACCCTAAACCCTAAACCCTAAACCCTAAACTCTTGCACATCACAGCAACGTAGGCTAAGGCCCGGCATGTGGAGTTTCAACACAATACTGGGGTCATTAGTGTAGAGCAACTCTTCTGCTTCCGGTGCCCAAAAGGGTCACATCGCTTCGAACAACCCCCCTCCAAACCCTAAACCCTAAACCCTGAAGCCTAAACCCTAAACCCTATAAACCCTAAACCCTAGGACCTAGAACCCTAAACCCTAAACCCTAAACCCTAAACCCTAAACCCAAAACCCTCAAACCCTAAACCCCTGTTAGCGCCTCTGGAGCTGCACCGTCTCCTCGTCCTCGGCGACTTGGTCCAAGTCTTTCTGCATGGCCTGGACGGTTCCAGGTGTTGGGTTTAGGGTTTGGGGTTTGGGGTTTAGGGATTAGGGTTTAGGGTTCAGGGACCCGAAAACTACCAAAAAAGCTCGGCCTTTGGGCGATTCGGCGTAACTCAGCACCCAAGACTGTAAGAACTATGCATCCCCCAGCATCTTGGTAAAGAGGCCATGATTCTGCGGCACTTTGGCAAATTAGAACTAGGGTTTAGGGTTTAGGGTTTAGGGTTTCGGGTTTCGGGTTTCGGGTTCAGGGTTCAGGGTTTAGGGTTTAGGGGGTCCTATGTACTACCATAGCCCTACCCCAACTCCTGCCAAGCACGTACATCCTTAACCCTTCACCCTCGGCTCTTACAAAACAAACAACTAAACCAAGAACCCTACACCCCCGCAGCCTAACAGGGTACAAGGAGGGCCCCCCTAATTATGAGTAGAGTTATAAGAGCCCTAAATTGGGTTTTCAGGAACCTAACTTAGGTTATAAGTCCTTTAACGACAGTTAGTATAGTAAAGGGGCCCTCCTTGTACGCAACATACAAGCCACTGTCGCGCGTGAAAACGAGCCCACCCTCCCGAGAATTTGTGGTTTAGGGAGTTGGGTTTAGGACCAGGGTTTGGACTTTACAAGGAGGGGCCCCCCTAGTTTCAAGTAGAGTTATAAGAGCCCTAAATTGGCTTATAAGGAGCCTAACTTAGGTTATGAGTCCCTTATATAGTTATAGTTAGTATAGTAAAGGGGCCCCTCCTGTAAGAATTCATCTCCACATCCTTTGTGGGGTTTGTGGGCGGTCGGTGTTTGGACCTTTTTCTCCGTGTGTCCCACAGATGATATGAAGCCCTGGAAACCAAAGCGTTGGGAAATTGCAGGGTTTAGTTCGGGTTTCAGGGTTTGTGGGTTTAGGGTTTACTTAGGCTTGAGATTCCAAAGCACGTTCAGCAAAGTCTGGTTCAAGCCGTTTCGATCTCCAAGCAGCCTTGTAAATCTGGGGATCTGCAGCCCACCACAACCGAGCGCTAGCTTTTGTTATACTGTAACACAGGGTCCTGAAGAATTTTGAAAGAGTTTTGGGGGGCTTTACAGTATGATTATAAAGGGACCATACGGGAATAATATTGGGTGTGATTCCGACCCCTTCTTCTACCCTCTTGAAGCCCGAACATCCTTAACCTTCAGCCCGGAATGCCAGAACCCGCCCCCATCGTCAAACTAGTCGACTTAAAAGCAAAGCCTAAACCCTAAACCCTAAACCCCCCCCCCAAACCCTAAACCCCCCAAACCCTAAACCCTAAACCCTAAACCCTAAACCCTAAACCCTAAACCCTAAACCCTAAACCCTAAACCCTAAACCCTGCCGTAAGCCCTAAGCCCTAAACCCTAAACCCTAAGCCCTTAACCCCAACATAGCGCACCTCTTGGTGACGCTGCAACCTCAGCCAGGTGCCAGCGAGGATACTTTCTCAAGCGTTGGAGCTGCCAAGAGAGTGGAGTTAGGGTTCAAGCTTCAGGGTTTAGGGTTTGAGGTTTAGGGTTTAAGGTTTAAGGTTTAGGGTTTGGGGTTTGGGGTTTGGGGTTTGGGGCCGGCAAAGCGCCAACGCATGGACAAGCTGCGCCCGAAATACCTTCATCCCACAGGGCCTATAAACCCTGAACCCCGAACCTCCGAACCTCTGAACCTCTGAAGCCCTGAAGCCCTGAAGCCCTGAAGCCCTGAAGCCCTGAACCCTACACCCTAAACCCTAAACCCTAAACCCCAAAACCCTAAACAAACCAAAACCCTTAAACCCGAAGCCCAAAAGCCCCTGAAACCTAAACCCCTCAACCCGAAAACCTAAATCGAGCGAAGTGCTGCTAGTCCGACAGCCCTAAGGCTCCTTGACACACGCTAGCAGGCCGAGAAGGCCTTGGGTTTGTGGTCCAGACCTTCTCCCTAACATTCTGAACAAAAAAAAGACCCCCAAAACCCTGAACCCTAAACCCTACACCCTAAGCGCTAAACCCTGAACCCGCCCCAACACCCTAAACCCTAAACCCTAAACCCTAAACCCTACACCCCAAACCCTAAACCCTAAACCCTAAACCCTAAGCAACAAGGTGCAGGGCTTAGGGTTTAAGGCTCAGGGCTTGGAGTTTCCGGCAGAGCAGCTGGCGGAGGCTGGTCTTCAGAGCTTCCGCTTGCTCCTGAAGGAGAGTTTAGGGTTTAGGGTTTAGGATTTAGGGTTTAGGGTTAAGGGTTTAGGGTTTAGAGTTTAGGGTTTAGGGTTTAGGGGCTTTGGGTTGTGGGTTCTGGGTTTGGAGCTTGTCATAGACGTCCCAGCCCTCCCCACACTAAGGGGCACCCTCCCAAACGTTCGCCCACGACTTCAGGTCATAGTTTATTCTTCTGATGATGATGATGATGTTGTTTTTACTGTTTATTTATTTATTCATGATGGCTTTTTACTAATTATTTACTTATTTCGGTGCTTTTTTTGAGGGGGGGGGTACCCTTTTGGAGGAGAAGTGGCGGACCATACCGGGTTTGGGTTTTATGGTTTGGGCGACTTCGGGTGTGTCTTATGGGTGAATGGGTTGAGCGGAAACCCTAAAACCGTAAATCCCTAAACCCTAAACCCCCTAAACCCTAACCCTGCACCCTAAACCCTAAGCCCCTAAGCCCAGAACCTGAGAACCCTCGACTCGAAACCCCCACACCGAAACTGCAAGATCGGAGGTCCATAGTGCAGAGCCCCTGATAATCCTATAGGGTTTAGGGTTTAGGGTTTAGGGTTTAGGGTTTAGGGTCCTATGACCCTAGATAATGATGTTCTGGTTGGTTGGTTGGTGCGTAGCCTGACAGTCTGTGCGTGCGAAAACTCGTGAGAATCGTATAACCCTAAATAAACATGTTCTAGGGCTTCGGGCTTCAGCTTCTTACAAGGATTGAGGAAGGGGTGTAGATCTTGGCGAGAGAGATCCCTAAACCCTAAACCCTAAACCCTAAACCCTAAACCCTAAACCCTAAACCCTAAACCCTAAACCCTAAACCCTAAACCCTAAACCCTAAACCCTAAACCCTAAACCCTAAACCCTAAACCCTAACCCTAAACTCTAAACCCTAAACCCTAAACCGAAGCAAAACCTTGGGACAAACAGCGTGGAGCATCTTCCTTGGCCACCTCCCGTAGCTTCCGGTGCTCGGCAGCCACCTGTTTGTGGCTTTAGGACTATCGGCCTCATAAGGCTTTCCCTGAACCCTAAACCCTGAACCCTAAACCCTAAACCCTAAAGGAGTTCATAAGGCCCTGGAGGTTCGTTCAGGGACTAGGGCGGAAGGCAGGTCTTCAGGGCCAGACGTAGTTGCAAGTTTCGCAGCCTGTGGGGGGTCGCAGGGTCCCTTGTAACTCCTAAACAACGAAGAGCCCTACACCACAAGACGCCACAACCTCGAAACCTCAGGGTTTAGGGTTTAGGGTTTTTAGGTGTAGGGCTTCGGGTACACTAGCTTCGCGCGGTTTGTGGTTTAGGGGCTTCCATGCAAGCAAGCGAGACAAGTAAGCACGTACGCATTGTGCTTGTAAGGGCGTTCCATGGTGCCATGAGGGAACAGTTCAGGGTTTAGGGTTTAGGGTTTAGGGTTTAGGGTTTAGGGTTTAGGGTTTAGGGTTTAGGGTTTAGGGTTTAGGGTTTAGGGTAATATTAATTCGCACCGCTGGGGCTCTTGCAGTCAAAAAGGGCGCGCATTTTGGCGGAGGGTCTCCACTGCTGCATATACAACGCTTGTCGTTTAGGGTTTCGAAGGGGGCCGAGGGTTGGGGGTGTCCCTAAACCCTAAACCCTAAACCCTAAACCCTAAACCCGAAACCCTAAACCCTAAACCCTAAACCCTAAACCCTAAACCCTAAACTCGGCCCTCTGCCTGCTCATTCTTGGCGCTTCCGCTCTGCGCAGCCTGGATCTTACTCCTGGGATGACTGTTCACGGTTTACTTTGGGATGTTCCCCCTGATCTAAGTAGCCCAGTAACCATATTATGACCCTAAACCCTAAACCCTAAACCCTAAACCCTAAACCCTAAACCCTAAACCCTTTTTTTGGCTGGTTACTGTTTAAGGGAACCTTGAACCGGGTACAGGGTGCCCTGGGCTACCTAGTTCTACCAGCAGGCCTTAAAAGGGATTGTGGTCCCCCTGTTACAGCCACTTCGAAGGACACTGTAGGGAGTACTCTAGCAGTCCTTAGTAGGGATTATGGTCCTTGCTTATTAGGTATTATAGTCTCCCAATTATAGTCCTTATTAGGGACTATAGTCCTTTTTAGGGATTATAATCCTTAATTTTTAATAGGGATTACCGTCCCCCTATTAAAGTCACTTAGTGGGACAATGTAGGGTTTAGGGTTTAGGGTTTAGGGTTCTCCTTCATTTCTTGACGGTTGAGTAAGGCTTCGGGCTTAGGGCTTGCGGTATCCCGACTATAACATGAACCCCAAGCCTGCACCGCCGTTTAGGGTTTGGTGTTTAGGGTTTAGGGTTTAGGGTTTAGGGCCACAAGCCACATCATGAGAGGCAAGCCCTCCAAAAGCCTACGAAGCTGAGAGCCCCAAACCTTGAAGGGTTTAGGGTTTAGGCTCCAGGCCCCAAACCTTGCAGCCTAAATCTGAGATTCCCAACCCCCAAACCGTGGAAACTGAGCAACCCAGGCGCTTGAAGTCCTCAACTTCAAAGTGGAGCTTGGCATACTCCTGAACGACCGGATGGGCTTCAGGTTGGTGGTTCTGGTGAGTGGGTTTAGGGTTTAGGGTTTAGGGTTTAGGGTTTAGGGTTTAGGGTTTAGGGTTTAGGGTTTAGGGTTTGAGGTTCAGGGTTCAGGGTTTAGGGTGTAGGGTTTAGGGCTTCAGGTCAGTGGGTGCTAGAAGATGCTGTACAGCGATATCTCTGGGCAATGCGGCTCTAGCATGCTGTGCCATGCTGTGGGGTTTTCTTTGTGAATCCAGGATGCTATAGGATTTGAAGCTAGAGAGTGATAAGCCAACAAGTATGCCGAACCCTGAAACCCTAAACCCTTACTACCCTGACTACCCTTCCCACCCTAAACCCTAAACCCTAAGCCCTAAACCCTAAACCCTAAACCCTAAACCCTCAACCCCAAACCCTAAACCCTAAACCCTAAACCCTAAACCCTAAACCCCCGAGAGGGCTATGTGGGTCAGGCGGGTTTTGGGTAGGGGGCGGAGCACCCGAAGCCCTCAGCCACCATAGCCGCAGGGGCCGAGGATGCCTTTATGAGCACTCTTAAGGTTTAGGGTTTAGGGTTTAGGGTTTAGGGTTTAGGGTTTAGGGTTTAGGGTTTAGGGTTTAGTGTTTAGGGTTTAGGGTTTAGGGTTTAGGGTTTAGGGCGGGTCAGGCTTTAGGGATTCGAACCTCAATGATAAGCCTACTTCTAACCTACTGAACCTGTAAGCGGATCAGGGTTTAGGGGGTTTAGGGCTTAGGGGATTAAGGTTTAGGAGGTTTGGGGGGGGTCTAGGCGAGCAGGTTTTGGGGGTTTTAGGCTTGGGGTTTTGGGGGTTTAGAGGTTCCGGCTTTTGGGGATTTAAGGGTTGTTAAGGTACTTAAGGGTTTCTGGCTAAAGACTTCCTGGGCGGGCGCAATGAAGCCTCAGGAAGCCCTTCTTTGTTTTGCAGGGCCGCCTCCATCACCCCCGCGAAGGCAGAAGGGAACTAAATCAGAAGCAGGGTGTATATTCCTTGTATCCCTAGAAGGACACTAGTTAAATACACTTACCAATATTCAAAGAAACCTTATAGACAGTCACCAATAAAAAATCATGTTTGGCATAGTATTACAAATCTGCATCTCTGTTCCTTACTGAGCTTTAAGTACCCTTAAACAGATAAAACAATGTCACCCCACTATGACAAAAAATAAATGGCATCCCCGAGACCGATCTAAGCATAACCGCTTTGTAGGAATTACAGTAGTACTTGGTTTAGGTTTGGGGTTTAGGGTTGAGGGTTTAGGGTTTAGGGATAGCTAAACCCTAAACCCTAAACCCAAAACCCTGAACCCTGTTTGGAAGCAAGTCCTGGATAAGGCTGCCGCTCTTCAGCCCGCGCGCCAGGTATTGCTGCAGAGTGGGCGACTTCCTTCGTCAGGCTTTTCCGACGAGGCTTGCCCTGATAACGCTTTGGACCCCAAACCCTAAACCCCAAGCCCAAAACTCTAAACCCTAAACCCTGTAACCCCTTAGCCCAAAAAACCCTGAACCCTGAACCCTGAACCCTAAACCCTAAACCCTAAACCCTAAACCCTAAACCCTAAAATCCAAGCATGCTTTCATTTGAGCTACTGGGCCGTGCAGTCCGGGACCGAATTTTAAACACCTTGGGAAATCGGGTAGTTCAGGGTTTAGGGTTTTGGGTTTTGGGTTTAGGGTTTAGGGTTTAGGGTTTAAGAAGGTCACTTCCCGTCTGAAAGCGTGGCTTTAGTTCTTATACAGCGTGTGGGGCCAGGGTGAGTGCAGGTCGTGTATGCGCGAGCCAAGACGTACTTATGTTGCCTCAAGTCCCAAACCCTAAACCCTAAACCCTAAACCCTAAACCCAAAACCCAAAACCCTAAACCCTAATGACTGATGATGCTGCCGCTCCTCCGAGGCACTCGATGCAAGCACCCGTGAGCCCTGAAGGGCTCCTGCAAGCCCTGTACATCAGAACCCTAAAAAGGGGTTTAGGGTTTAGGGTTTAGGGTTTAGGGTTTAGGGTTTAGGGTTTAGGGTTTAGGGTCTAACATCGAAACCCTCAAGCCCTAAAACCCTACAACCCTAAAACCGCAGAACCCTAGCACACGAGAACCCTGGAACCCTAGAACACCCTAAAACCCCAGAACCCCAGAATCCGAAAACCTTAGGACCCTGAAGCCCCACAACCTTGCAACCCGAAACCCAAAACCCTAGAACCCTAAGACAGTAGGATCCTAAACCCTAAACCCTAAACCCTAAACCCTAAACCCTCAACCCTAAACCCTAAACCCTAAACCCTAAGGCTCCCTACGAAAGAGCAAAGCGGCCGGACTTCGTCTAACTTCAAGTCGGCTCCGTCGTCGCCTGGGCTGGGGAACGTTGAGGGGAGAGGAGTTGTTGGTTGAGGTGAGGGTTTAGGGTTTAGGGTTTAGGGTTTAGGGTTTAAGGTTTAGGGTTTAGGGTTTAGGGTTTAGGGTTTAGGGTTTAGGGTTTAGGGTTTAGGGCTTTGGGACTAGCAAGTTGAGGGATTATAGCAAGTTTCCTCAAGCCTATACTCCAAGACATATTCAACATACCCCTTGGGCATATCTCTTAAAACGAAATTACAGGGCATTCTCCTTGTTATAGGTTAAGGGGTATGCGTTTGGGGTATGTTGAATTCATGTATTCTTAGGTATACACCCCTAAACCCGAAACCCTAAACCCGAAACCCTAAACGCTTGTTCCTCAAGCCCTAAACCCTAAACACTAAACCCTAAACCCTAAGCCCTTGAAGCCTAAGCACCCCAAAGAGCAGCACCCCCACCGGTGCGCTCCAAGCTGCCAATCTCGCGGGCTTTCTGCCGGATCTCCTTTCCCACCGGGGGTCGCGTGCACATCTGGAGAGTGATTCTGGGGCACCCTAAGCATCCTAAACCCTAAACCCTAAACCCTAACCCCAAAACCCAAACCCTAAACCCTGAACCCTGAACCCTGAACCCTAAACCCTAAACACTTTTTGTTGGGGGGAGGGGAGGGAGGGGGCGGGTTGGGTGGTATGTGCCATGCATAGGGTTTTCGTAGAGAGCGCTTCAGGGCCTTGTGCGTATTTCAGAGCCTTATCAGGGCTTAGAGGCTTCCGCCTAGGGTTTAGGGTTTAGGGTTTAGGGTTTAGGGTTTAGGGTTTAGGGTTTAGGGTTTACGGTTTAGGGTTTAGGGTTTAGGGTTTAGGGTTTAGGGTTTAGGGTTTAGGGTTTTAGGTTTAGGGTTTAGGGAACACGGAAGAAGGCTTCTGGTGATAAAGGGAAGTCCGGACGCAGTTGGGGAAACAGGATTGCAGAAGCAGTACGTTTCGGGTCACCCGCTGCCCCAAATCCAGAGGTTCACGGTTTATCATTCCAGCTTTGATCTTAGACTCTGCAACCCCATATTAACCCTAAACCCTAAACCCCCAAAGCCTCGAACCACCGCCGCAGCCCCTCCCTCCGCAGCGGCTGAGTCCTCCATTGTCTCGGTCTTCTTGGACTCAATGGTTGCCATCTCCTCCTGACAGGTTCACCAAAACCGGGATAAGAGGTCTAGGGTTTAGGGTTTAGGGTTTAGGGTTAGGGCTTAGGGTTTAGGGCTGTTGGCTAGGGAGAATCGATTCGGACTCCACGATAGTCTCGCGTACACTGGACATCAAGTCCTGCGTCGTGCGAATTGGACTGTGGGAGCATCCTCGATACGATGATGGAGTCTGAGGAATTGATCGCTCCGAAACGGCTGGTGTTGCTCCACCTCCAAGTAATCCCCAGGCATCGAAGTTCGAGGACCCCGCGACTGAAGGTGGAGGCCTCAATGGCAATCGAAAAGGAGGAACCGGCGGAGGGCTCGGTATGGCCTGAAGAGGCACATCGCCTAGGCTGTAGGCCTACACAAGAAGCCACATGGGCACTTCCGAAAATAATGTGGGTTTAGGGTTTAGGGTTTAGAGTTTAGGATTTAGGGTTTAGGGTTTGGGGTTCCTTATTGGGGACCTTATTACAACGGAATCCTTTTTGGAAATATATTCGGGGTACCTATTTTCGTAAACCTCCATGAAGACAAACTATGCAAGCCAAAGCCCCCCCAACCCCACGCCCGAAACTCCAAGCCCAAAGATAGTCTGTGGAACCCTGAAACCCCCCCCAAAGGCGATAAGCCCTCAACCCTGAACCCCAAACCTAGAGCCCTAAACACGGTAACCCTGATTACCCCAAACCGCCCACCCTCGACCCTAAACTCGAGGAGGTTTAGGGTTTAGGGTCTAAATCCTAAACCCTAAACCCTAAACCCCAAACCCTAAACCCCGGAGGGAAGCCTGCCAGCCGGCAATCGTGCGCTGTAGCTCCTTTCTTTTCGACTCCTGGTAGGAGACCTGGCATTAGGGCTTCTTTCGGGTTCCAGTTGAGATTTCTTCGGGATTTAGGGGTTAGGGTTTAGCGCGTTGTTTTGTTGCATGAGGGCTTGGGCTTCTTCGGGTTTCGGGTTCGGAGCCGAAAGGGCATCGGGGTTGAGGCTTTCTTGGCTCTCAGTACTTGGAGGTGCATGGCCCTTATTAACCAATTCGAACTGTACTTCTAACTATACTTGTAAGCCCCTTAAGTGCCCTAATATGGTTATAAGTGTAGCTACAAGTACAGTTATCGTTGGTTAACAAGTACCATTCACCTCTCAGTAGACTAGAGGTGCGCCAACTACTGGTTCCTCTCGCATTAGGCCTTGGGGGATAAGGGTGAGTGCTTTTCCAGCTCTTCTCCTAAACCCTAACCCCTAAACCCTAAACCCTGAACCCTAAACCCTGAACCCTAAACCCTATATAAACCTGAACCCTAAACCCTAAATCCTAAACACTAAACCCTAAACCCTAAACCCTTACATCATGGGGGGGGGGGGGGGTCGGGGTAACCCAAAATCTAAACCCAAAACCCTAAACCCGCCCCCAAAACCCGAAACCCCCCCAAAACCCGAAACCCCCCCAAAACCCGAACCCCTCCAAACCCCCTAGACCCCCTAGATTCCCTAAACCCCCCAACCCCCCTAGACCCCCTAAACCCCCTAGACCCTAAAACCCCCTAGACCCTAAACACTAATCCCTAAGCTCCAAGCTTCAGGCTTCTTGTTTGGAGGGGGTTTTGTGAGGGAACCGTACTCCTCCAAAAGAACAGAAAGGCAGAGACGACTCAGCGTGACCCCCTAAGCCCTAAGCAGCCTTGGAAGGGTTTAGGGTTTAAGGTTTGGGGTTTAGGGTTTAGGGTTTAGATAAGGACCCAATTGGGTTGAAAGGCTCCAAACTTAGGTTATAACTACAGCTAGTATAGTAAGGGGGCCCCTCCTTGTACATGTTGAAGCCCTAGGGGCTTGTAGAATTTTAGGGTGTAGGGTCTCGGTTTCGATGGTAAGGTTTAGGGTAAAGCCACACTTGCTCAAAAAAAACAAAACCCTAAACGCTGATAAGCCCTATAAATAAATTCAAAACCCTTAACCATCAAACCCAAAACCCAAAAACACAAGAACCCGAAAACGCAAAAAACAAAAAAAAACAACCTAATGCGCGACAGCCCTAACACCCTGAAGCACCAACTCCAAAACTCCAAAACTAAACCCTTAATCCGTAAAAAAAAAAACCCTAAAAGCCGCCCCTGCCCTAAATCCTAAACCCTAAACCCCAAACCCTAAACCCTAAACCCGGTCGCCCACCTGTGCTTGTGCCTCTGTTGCCCGGCGCTGGGCATCCTTAAGCTCGGCCTCTGCACTTCGGGGAAGAGCTGGGTGTGGGGTTTAGGGTTTAGGGTTTAGGGTTTGGGGTTTAGGGGGTAGGGTTAGGGTAGGGTCTAGGGTCTAGGGTCTAGGGTCTAGGGTCTAGGGTCTAGGGTCTAGGGTCTAGGGTCTAGGGTCTAGGGTCTAGGGTCTAGGGTCTAGGGTCTAGGGTCTAGGGTTTAGGGTTTAGGGTTTAGGGTTTAGGGTTTAGGGTTTAGGGTTTAGGGTTTAGGGTTTAGGGTTTAGGGTTTAGGGTTTAGGGTTTAGGCCGGTTTGGGATTTAGGGCTTGAGGTTTAGGGTTTATGGCAAACAAAGATAGGTTTGGTGCATCCAGGGTTTTGAGGTTGTAGGGTTTTGGCCAAATGGGGCGACACCTAGGTCGCCGGGAAGCATAGGGAATTTTAGAATTGACGAGGGTTTTGGGTAGTTTACGGCTTTTGAAAGCCCTAAACCCTCAACTCTCAACAACTCTCAACCCTATACCCTAAGTCCTAAGGGGCTACGGGGGGTTCGGGGGTTTTCGGGGCCACCCCATAAGGGGCCACCCCATAGGGGGCCACCCCATAGCTCCAAGCACACTTACTTTAGGGCTGTTGGGCCCAACGGCCATACCATCATACCACACATGGTTTAGGGGTTTAAGGTTTAGTGTGTGTGTGTGTGTGTTTTTTTTTTTTTTTTTTTGGGGGGGGGGGTTGAGGTTTAGGGTTCAGGGTTCAGGGTGCAGGGTTTACTTACTTCATCTTAGGAGGGAATGAGGGAATTTGGTACCTGTCAGAATCCACCCCAGTAAGTTTAGGATTTTGGGCGCCAAATCCTAAACCCTAAACCCCAAACCCTAAGCCCAGCCCTGAACCCTGAACCCTGAACCCTGAACCCTGAACCCTGAACCCTGAACCCTAAACCCTAATTAAACCCTGTCTCGCTCGTGATCAGGGTGGAAAACACGACAATCAAGGAAACCAGATTGGAGTTCCAGAATACTTTGAAGATGTTGGTGTCACGGAGAAGGGACGACGATATCAATGTGAAACTGATTTGTGGCAGAAACAGGACCTTTGCCCTTCTCGAATTCATCCACTTTCTTGTAGACATCTTTATCAACGTGTCGTGATGAACTCCAGCATCTCCATAGTCCTCGGTCGACGGGTAGCTCGTGAAGAACAGCTTCTTAAACCCTAAACCCTAAACCCCAGACCCTAAACCCAGGCCCTAAACTTCCCTGAGCTCACATGGCACCTCCACCGCCAGGTACTTTCCCTTGAGCTCTTTCTGCTGCGCGGCGATGCTCCTTGCGCTGGTTTACGGTCTACGCGAGCCTGTTTGTAAACGGTTGGGGTTTACATAGGGTTTAGGGTTTAGGGTTCAGGGTTCAGGGTTTACGGTCGATGCGGGCTTGTAAGGGTTTACACATGCTCTACAAAGTTTTACAAAGGGTTTGCAAGGGTCTGTACGTGCCTGTAAGGGCTTATAAGGGTTTACACATGGTTTATGAGGATTCATAAGGGTTTACAAATGGTTTATACGGGGTTTGTAAGGGCTTACACATAGTCTGTGCGGCTTGTAAGGGCTTATATTGGTTGACAAGGCTTTACAACTGGCTTATCAGGTTTTGATGGTTAAGGATTATGAGGGTTTATAAGGGCAATGGCTTACAAGGGATTAAAAACGGCTTATACGGCATTCAGAATAGGTTTTTACTTGTTTATGTCATGTTACCCCGTTAAATAACCTTAATTGGGCTTCACCATCCCTACATAGCCTCACTTCTGGGGGGGAAAGGGGTAGTATGAGGGGGGGTAGTAGGGGAACCCATGATTGTGAGGGTTTGTAACGCTTTGCAAGGAATATAAGTAATAGGTCGGACTCGACTTGAAAACATACGACGAGCACCCGAAAGACTTGACCCCTAAACATAAACCCTAAACCCTAAGCCCTAAACCTTAAACCCTAAACCCAAAACCTTCAACCCTAAACCCCGGAGTGGGGTCTAAACAAATCGATTGGCCCTTCTTGGTATCCTAACTTCAAGAAGTAGCCGGAAAAATCCACAAGGCATGTAACACGGGACGCAGTACAAGCAAGAACCCTCAGAACTAACCTAGCTGCCATGTCTCTGCCGACCCACCCTCGGACCTACAAACCAAGAAGGACAGACCCTGAAATTCAAACACCTAAGGCCTAAACCTCAAACCCCCAAAACCCACACCCTAAAGGCCCAAATGTGCCCGAGTGGCGTCTGTCGCTGGCGTAGCGGCTCCAATGCACGCTCCACCAAAACCTGCCATCAGGCCGCTAGGGTTCAGGGTTTAGGGTTTGGGGTTTGCGCATGTCGGGGCGGAGGAGAGTTGGGTTTGTGCCGGGGGGAGGGGAGAGGGGCTTGGGCTGTTAGGGGTTGAGGTTCAAGGTTGAGAAAGCCAAGCTCCCTACGCCCTAAACCCTACCCGGGACCCTCTTTTGCTACAGTCTTATGGGTTATACCTACTACTTAAGGGTAACTACTACTAATTTTCCCTTTTGCTACAGTCTTATGGGTTGTACCTGCTAATTAAGGGGAATTGCTACTAGGTTTCTAAAGTTTCAGGTAGACACCCTGAACTAAACCCCCAGACACCCTTACCTTAAATCGGATGACCACGGACACCTCCAAACCTTAGACGCCTTCATTAGCCCTATACAACCCTGAGCCCGCACTCTAACACGATTCATGGCTTTGTGGAATTGGCAATTTAGGGATTTAGTGGGGCGGGGGGGGGGGGGTTGTGGGTGGGGGAGGTTCTTAGGGCGGGGGTGGGTGGGGGGGTGGGGTGGTCGGGGACTTGGGGCTGTCACGTCGGACCTTGAATGATTGATCTTCCCGGCCTTCTCGTCTTTCGATTCTTTGCTTTGGTCCTCCCTTCGTTCGGTGCATGTACTTGACTTCGGTGCATGTTACATTAAAAGACCTCGTACACGAAGAGTTCAAGGTCGGTCGAGCCAAAGTGGGGGAAGCCTGTAGCTTCCTTCCGTCAGGCAACTCCCCAAGCCCGGCAGGTGCCGCCGAACCAGTCGTTGCCTCTGCACTGACGGCCTCCAGATTCAACACCCTAAAGCTTAAAGCCTACAGCTTACACCCTAAACCCTACACCCTAAAGCCTAGAAAAACCCTTCAAAGCTTGGATCCCCAACCCCCCCAACCAGGAACCTCAACCCCATACCCCAACCCCCAAACCCTAACCCCCGAACCCAATTTAGACCCTAAATACTAAACCCCAAACCCCTGAACCCCTGAACCCCTTCACCCCTAAACCCCAAGCACCAAAACATCAAACCCTAAACCCCAAACCCCAAACCAAAAAACTCTAAACCCTAAACCTAAACCCTGAAACCCCAGGCCCTGAACTCAAAATACTGAACCCTAACGCCTACACCCGACGAACTCCAAACCCTAAACCCCCTACAACCTAAACAAAAAAATATATAAACCCATAAACATCAAACCCTGAACCCTAAACCCTGATCTTAAGCCCAAAACCCTAGACCCCAAACCCTAATCCGAAACCCTAAGCCCTAAACCTCTAAACCCTAAATCCCCAAACCCTAAACCCACAAACACTCGAAACCCGAAACCCAAAACCCAAAACCCCTAAACCCCTAAACCCTAAACCCCCCAAACCCTAAACCCATAAACATCAAACCCTAAACCCTAAACCCTAAACCCTAAACCCTAAACCCTAAACCCTAAACCCCAAACCCCAAACCCCAAACCCTGACTGCGCCGAGCCTGGACCGGCGCTTCGGTCTTCGCAGCTCCTGTTACTTAAGAAGCCAAACTTCAAATAATGCCCAGAAACCCTCTTTAGGGTTTAGGGTTTAGGGTTTAGGGTTTAGGGTTTAGGGTTTAGGGTGTAGGAACCAATCCCCCCCCCCCTCCCCTCCCCAAGAGCACGCAGAAGTTCAGTAGCACTCGAAGCCTGCAACCCCCCCAAACCCCTAAACCCTAACACCCAATCCCCAAACCCTAAACCCAACACCGTATACCCTGTAATACCCTAAACCCTAAACCCTAAACCCTAAGGACTTCTGCGAGCTATACTCCCCATGGCCGGGCTTCCGACCTTTGAACTTGGGGAAGCTCTAACCCTAAACCCTAAACCTCAAACCCTAAACCCTAAACCCCCAAATCCTAAGACTTAAAACCTCGACTCCCTTGCCAAGAACATTTCATAGACCCCAAACCCTAAACCCTGAGGTTCACATTTTTTGCACCTTGGAACTAGTCCAGTACAAACCCCAACCACCGCGGTGGCTATCAGTTTTGCGGTTTCGGGTTTAGGAGGGGCGTAGAGCTTCGGGGTTTATGGCTTTAGAGTTTCGAGTCTGAAATTGCCCATTGCTTTTTTGGGCATAGTTCGGATAATTCGAGGCTTCAGGGCTTATGGTTAGGGTGGTGTCCATTGCTTTTGTTGGCATAATTCGGAAAATTCGGGCCTAAGGGTTTGTGGTTAGGGTGGCGTTCGTGAAGGGAAGGTCCTGCTGAGGAGGCGCAGAACTTGATGTGGTGAGAGACGTGGGGCCGCAACCTTGCAATTCAGCGCTGTGAAGTTCGAGAGGCCCCGACTCGAAAAGGTAAACATCACAGGATGAGAGGGTTTAGGGTTTAGGGTTTAGGGTTTAGGGTTTAGGGTTTAGGGTTTAGGGTTTAGGGTTTAGGGTTTAGGGTTTAGGGTTTAGGGTTAGGGGCTCCCCTTCCCTAAGGGTCCATGTACCTAGATAGGGCTTACTTGGGCCTCAAGTACCTCGTACATAGGGACTTTGGGGCCCAAGTACATGATACTTGAAGGTTCATGGTACTTACTAACCAATGATAACTGTACTTATAACCCTACTTATAATACCCCTAAAGGGCCTTATAGGGGTTATCCCAATTATAAGTAGGGTTATAAGCCCAGTTAGAATTGGTTAGTAAGTACCATGAACCTTCAAGTAGGTACATGGACCCTTGGGTCGCACGAGCCGCTTGTAGGCTTTGGATTTCGGGGTTGAGTGAGTTCAGTGGGCTTACGGTTTAGGGTTTCACCCTAAACTCTTGCAGGGCTTAGGGTTTAGGGCATGGGGTTTGGGGTTCAGGGTTTAGGGTTTCCAACTTTAAGCCCGAAACAATAAGCTTTGGGGGGACCACCATGTAGAAAAACACGCTGAAACCACGATTTGACTTGTTCGCTTTCACCAGGCTCACACATCCCCGCGTCTATGACCTTGAACACTGGAGCAAGAGAAACACTGACAACCTCCAGTAGGGTGTCTGAGGCTAAGGATTTAGAGTTTGGGCGGCTACAACCTATCGGCTGGCGTTCTGAGAAGCAGGCCGAAGCAAGTGCGACGTGCGCGCGGAAGAGTGGAGGAGGAGCATGGCACCCCCCCAGATGTTTCTATGCGGGGAACCCCAGATGGAAGTAGAATTCTAGAAGCCCTCATCTGATGTTGACAGAACTTTATGCAGCAAGCTACTTTCTAAGCATTGCGTCGTAAGGGAAGGGGCCTTCTCTATCTCTATACGATTCAAAGGATACGTCCTGACCGCTTTCCATACACATAAGGCTCAACTTGTGCGAACGCGCGCGAGTCATTGGGATGAATGAACCGTTCTGCCAGATGCTGCTGAGGGCAAGGGCCATGGTAAAGAGTAAGCTAGGACTAGGAGAACAAGGTGCGCTTTTGGGTTTAAAGGGGTTTATAAGACGACCTAAACCCCAAAAAAGGGGAATGAGGGCCTACTCGGAGTCCCCCGAAACCCTAAACCCTAAACCCTGAACCCTAGACCCTAAGCCTACATGGACCCTTCCGGGAGGGGGTTCGGGTTTAGGGCTTTAGGGTTTAGGCCGGATAGAGGACTGGTGGGCCGAACTAGGTCCACTTGCTTGGAGGTTCATGGTACTTCTTAACCAAGTTATAACTGTACTTACAACCACATTCGGGCACTTAAGGGGCTCACAAGTGGGTTATAAGTATAGTTATAACTGGTTAGTACGTACCATGAACCTCCTCCAAGTGGGGCTTTCAACAAAAAAGCTCAGAGAATCGCACCGAACTTCCGCGGAAAAGGCCCGGACCCTGAACTTTGTAGGGGCTAGGGTTTTAGGGTTTAGGGTTTAGGGCTTAAGATTCTGACGTGGTGTTCTGGGTTTAGGGGTGAGGGTTTAGGGCATCGGGATTCGTAGCAGGATTCGTAGTATTCTACCCGAGAATGATTGACAACATAGGGCACCAGGTCGACCCTAAACCCGAAACCCTAAACCCTAAACCGAAACCCAAAATTTCCCCCCAAAGCCCCTCTCCGCCCCAAGCAAAAGTGAAACTCGGAACCCTTGGAGCTAGGGTTTAGGGTTTAGGGTTTAGTGATTGGGGTTTGGGGTTTGGGGTGTGGGGTTCAGGGTTTGGGGTAAAAACTGGGAATCTAAGGTTCATCTGAGGGGTTTGCGAAAATTAGGGGAGCCCTAAAATAGACCCCCAAGTAGTAGGATTCTGCTATAACAAGGACCCCAACAAGGTACCCCTATTTTCGGAAATCTGACATGGCTTTTGGGTTCCAGGGTTTAGGGAAGAACAGCTCATACTATTTAGGCTTCTGGGCCCTACCCTAAACCCTAAACCCTACACCCTAAATGCACGGAGCCGGTTGGCAAAGCCCTAAACACAGCTTGGTGCAGAGATCCTGCAGTGCTTGGCGCGAAAAGCATCGAGACCTGGTTTCAGAAGGGTCTGGCGGATGTAGGGGTTTACGGGTTCGGGCTTCGGGGTTTAGGGTTCGGGGTTTAGGGTTTGTCGCTTGAGTGTTTCAGGGATTTAGGCTGGACATTAGGGTTTATGGCGAGCATGTGGTTGCACCCCGGCGCCCCCCCCCCCCCCTCCAGGGAATGTATACTAGAGTACTACAGTACGGGACCAGTATGTTGGAGAACTACCCTAAACCCTAAAGCGTAAACCCTCTAAACCCTCCAAACCCTCTCAACCCTCTAAACCCTCTCAACCCTCTCAACCCTCTCTCAACCCTCTCTCAACCCTCTAAACCCTCTAAACCCTAGAAACCCTCTAAACCCTATAAACCCTGGAAACCCTCTAAACCCTCTAAACCCTCTAAACCCTCTAAACCCTCTAAACCCCCTGAACCCTCTAAACACTCTAAACCCTCTAAACCCTCTACTAAACCCTGTAAACCCTCTAGACCCTACAAACCCTATAAACCCTATAAACCCTCTAAACCCTCTAAACCCTCTAAACCCTCTAAACCCTATGAAAACCCTATAAACCCTCTATAAACCCTCTAAACCTTAAGCCCCAAGCCCAAGTATATTACAATGAGGTACATGGACCCTTAGAAGGTGTCAAGTTCCAAGCTCACAGCTGCATCAGCAGCTTCTAGCGGCCGTGGTTTAGGGTTTAGGGTTTAGGGTTTAGGGTTTCTTCTTCCTTCAGGTCCGCTGCTACTTTGAGGCTCATGGTACTTACTAACCAATTATACCTGTACGGATAACTGGGGTCTTATAAGTGGGTTGTAAGTGCAGTTATTGTTGGCTAATGAGTACCATGAACCTCCAAGTAGTCGCGGCTGCAGCGTGTTAACCTCCTGCTGCAGACTCGCCCTGGTGGACTTGGTCGATAGGCCCCGGGGCGTCACGTGTACCCTAAATATTGGGTGCCGCATTATAGTAGGGATCCGAAGAAGTGGCTATATTTTTGCCAACCACCCGTATCTTTCTATTTGGGATGGCTGGCAGGTTCCAGGCAAGAAGAGCGCCTTCGACGCAGAGCTGTCCCTGAGTGGATCACATAATAGCACGACATCACAATAGTACAATAATATACTTTATACAACATTAAAAATATTCGAATCATGCTAAAGATATAAGAATCGATAACAATATATGGGGGTTCCCGAAAATAGGGGTACCCAAAAAATGCCCCAAACTACTCGAATCCTTTTTAAGTGAACCCCAGAAAGGGTCCCCCCCCCAGCATATTCTTGGTGTGAACAGACTCAAAGCCTGAAAAAGAAATTAGAAAAAACAACAACAACTCTCCGAGCGTCCGTCACAAAAAGAAAAATCTACGCAGCTACCTGATGATTCCAAGGAGAAGGGGTCTTAAACAAGCCGAAAGTCCCTGCAACGTAGGGTTTAGGGCTTGTAGGAGCGGAGGGTTTAGGCGCTAGGATTTACAGGACTTGGGGCGCATAGGAGTTTAGGGTTTAGCGCTACTGTGAGTTCAGGGTCTAATCCCTTAACCCTAAACCCTAAACCCTAAACCCTACACCCTAAACCCTAAACCCTAAACCTTAACCCTAAACCCCAAAACCCTAAACCCTAAAGCCTAAACCCTACACCCTGGGGGCCATGCCTTCTTTGGCCACCCGGAGACCAGATCGAGTGTCGCCCTTGTGGATGTAGGCCTGTGCACATCGGCAGCGTGTTGGACTACCACCCTAAACCCTAAACCCTAAACCCTAAACCCCAAACCCCAAACCCTAAACCCTAAACCCTATAAATCCTTAACCCTAAGCCCTAAACCCCAATACCTCGAAAGGAAGTGATGTAGAGGGTTTGGGTTTCGGGTTGAGGGCTGCCGGAGCGCTTCAGAGCCCGTGTGCCCAGACTAGGGGTGTAAGGGTTGTATGGGTTTAGGTCCTATAAGCGCTAAACCCTCTACAATCTCAAGCCGAAAGCCTAATAGGGTTTAGGGTTTAGGATTTAGGGTTTAGGGTATAGGGCAACTCAAAAAAAAGAAACTGAATGAGGCTTCAGCTGGATGTTGCATGAGCAGGGGCAAAGTGCATACAGAGACTTTTTGGCGCCAGCGCCGCTCGCCGGCCGTCATGCTCATAGCCCTATCGGGAGCAAGATGATCATGAGGATGACGACCACCACAAACACGCCGCCACCACCTTCTTTGTCATGGCTGTTGCCCCCGTACCTGTTGTAGCTGCGGTACCCGCTGCTCCGGTAAGTGCTGCGCCGGTACCCACCCGAATAGCCGTGGGCCCCGTAGAAGTTACCACGGGCGGCGCGGGCGGCGCGTCGGCGGCGCGCCCTGCGAGCGGAGCCGTGGCACGCGGCGCAGCCCGGACGCCCCAAGAGGGCATACCTGGGTATTGAAATGCGTATACGGGCCCATGTACCTATGTAGTATATACATGGGGCGCACAGGGGTTCCCCTAAACTTCAAACCCTCAACCCCAAATTTTCCAAAAGAGTAGCTTTAGGGCCCAAGTATGTTCGCTAGAGGTACATGGCCCCTTGGGAAATCAGGGTCTGAAGCTGAGCTCTAGACCTCAAACCCTATAAACCCTCAACCCTAAACCCTAAACCCTGAACCCTGAACCCTAAACCCTAAACCCTACACCCTAAACCCTAAACCTAAACCCTAAACCCTAAACCCTAAACCCGCCAAGGTGCTGAGACTCAAGCTCGGCCGTGGCCACCTCCGCCAAGCTGGAGGCGTCAGTGGGGCCCACGCCGTCATCCACGTGCGCACCCTGGGCATCTTCGGCCTGGGTTTAGGGTTTAGGGTTTAGGGTTTAGGGCTTAGGGTTTAGGGTTTAGGGTTTAGGGTTTAGGGTTTAGGGTTTAGGGTTTAGGGTTTAGGGTTTAGGGTTTAGGGTTTAGGGTTTAGGGTTTAGGGTTTAGGGTTTAGGGTTGATATTGGGGTGCACCTTATTGGGGTCCTTATTATAAGGGAATCCTACTATTTTGGGGACTCTATTAGGGGTCCCTCATGTCCGTAAACCCCCATATCTCAAGGGCCTACCAATAAGGGCACTACTGGGCACCCTAAACCCTAAACCCTAAACCCTAAACCCTAAACCCTAAACCCTATAAACCCTAAACCCCAAACCGAGGCGCCATCTTATTGAAGACCTGGGCATCCTCGTCGCTCAAGCACCCGGAGGCTTCTTGGAGCGTGGCGTTGTCAACTTGGGAGCCGAAGAGCAAGTCGCAGACCAACCTCTGCCTGAGGCGCTGAAGCAAAAAAGGTCCCCAAAACCCCTGGATTGGGGTTTAGGGTTTAGGGTTTAGGGTTTAGGGTTTTGGGTTCAGGGTTTAGGGTTTAGGTTTGGGGTTAAGGGCAGAACCCCAACACCCAAACCCCAGAACCCTAAGAGTCTTGAAAGTCGTGGTAGCCCAGCAACCATCTTATAATAAGGGTACCCCTTTTTTTGAGAGGGTTGGTTACTTTATAAGGGAGCCTTGACGCCACAGAAAGAAACCAAAGGGTGCCAACTGGGCAAACCCACAACAAGAAGGTTTAGGGTTTAGGGTTTAGGGTTTAGGGTTTACGGTTTAGGGTTTAGGGTTTAGGGTTTAGAGTTTACGGTTTAGGGCTATTTTCGGGTACCTCCTTGGGGTCCGCTAGTACCACGGGAATCCTACTTTGGGGGTCTATAGTCGGGGTCCCTTATTTTTCGCCAACTCCCGAGTCGCTTCTTGGATTTCGATGCAATATCCGGACACTCCTGTCAAGGGACTAGAGGAGGGGCCCTTATAAGGGATCTTAGGGTTATTTAGGGCCGGGGTTATTTAGTGGGAGTTATATAGGGGAATGGGATTACAGTAAAAAGTTGGAACATCCTTATCCCAGAACCCAAAAGGTATGCTAAAGGGAATCCGAGCTCAAAGCAGCCTTAACCCATGTTCCAACTTTCTGGAGTTTACTGTAAGGGCCCCTTCTAGGGTCCCTCCTTATACGCCTTCATGGCCCTAAACCCTAAACCCTAAACCCTAAACCCTAAACCCTAAACCCTAAACCCTAAACCCCAAACCCTAAACCCTAAACCCCCCTTAAGCTCAAAACACCCCACAAACCCTTCGTGGTCCTGTCCGTTGAGAACCAGGAGCTTGGCCATGAGTCGCGTGTTTGCCATGAACCTCGAGGTTGGCAGGGTTGGTGGTTTCGGGGGTGGGGGGGTGCCCTAAACCCTAGCCCTAAACCCTAGCCCTAAACCCGAAACCCTAAACCCTGAGCCCTGGTTCTGAAGGGAGGAGGGTTCAAGGAGGGTATAGGTAACCCAAGGCTCCCTCTAAGCTTCCATAAGGTTCCCTAGATACCTGCCCCCCATGAACCCCCCTGCCTCCTGCCTTAAGAACCCTTTAAGTTTTGGGAGCTTTGAATTCCTGTATGGAGGGCTTAGGGTTTAGGCAACCAAGGTTTAGGGTTGAGGGTTTGAGGGTTTGGAGCTTGTGGGGATTCTTGAGATTGGGGTTTTGGGTTTGGGGGGGGGGGGGGGGTTAGGTTCAAGTACGTCCCCCAAACTTATTTCGGGCCCTATCTGCCATCATACGCGCGTGATATATCTGTAGGGTGCACGGAAACCAGACCCAAGAGGAACCTAGGAAAAGCAAGGGTGCCCCTTTTTTGGCACATAGCCCCAAAAACCCTAAACCCACCTTTTTTTTGGTACCCTGCACTAGCCAGATGGGATCCTGTACCCTAGATCAGCGCCCCGGCTTTTCGAGTTTTAGGGTTGAGGCTGGGTAGTTTACGGTCCTTAGTAGCTTGCCCAGTAACCTAGGTTTAAAAAGGGTGCCCTTTTTAGCTTAAAGGGGTGCAGAAGGGAACCTAAACAACCCAAAAAAAGGGAATAAGGGCACTACTGGGAATCCTAGCTTCAAAGTCACCGCAGATAACCACAAATATGGGAGACATGATCCCAAAAGCCCACGACATTGAACTGCATGTCATGTTGTGCCGTGGCTCAACCCCAAACCCCAAACCCCAAACCCCAAACCCCAAACCCCAAACCCCAAACCCCAAACCCCAAACCCCAAACCCCAAACCCTAAACCCCAACATTTCTGCTGCAAGAAGCTGGTCAGTCAGGCTGATGGAATCGATGCTCCATGGTACGCCATCGTCCACCAGCACGAGGAAGGAGAACGTGTGGCTGTGTTCCATATCTTGGTTTAGGGTTTAGGGTTTAGGGTCCAGGGTCTAGGGTTTAGGGTCTAGGGTCTGGGGTTTAGGGTTTTAGGGTTTTAAGGTTGAGGGTTTAGCCTCTTTTTGTAAGGGTCCATGCACCTATACAGTTTGGGATGCTTCCCCTTATACTTGCAGTCCTTAATCGGGATTATAAAAGGTTCAGGACTGTTAGTATAAGGGGGGAACATCCCAGTACGTAGTTTTTACTTGGCAGTTGGGCACGCTCGAGAAGAGATTTGTACGCGCCCCACAGAAATTGTGAAACTTGGTATGTTTGCACGCACAAAAGAAGCTTAGACACAAAGAAGTGTTTAGGGTTTGGTACGGATTTTACAAACCCTCACCGAGAGAAGGGTGTAGATTAGAGTCTAAAACCCTAAACCCTAAACCCTAAACCCTAAACCCTAAACCCTAAACCCTAAACCCTAAACCCTAAACCCTAAACCCTAAACCCTCAACCCCACCCAAACCCTAATTAGCATGCATTGGGTCCCCAAGGTACCGGTCCAATCGGGGTTCAAGGTGTCGCTGATCGATTTGGTCCGAAACTTGCTCGAAGGCTGCGTATCGGTGGACTTCATTCGAACCTTGGCAGCTCAGCAGCCATATGGGGGTTTAGGGTTTAGGGTTTAGGGTTTAGGGTTTAGGGTTTAGGGTTTAGGGTTTAGGGTTTAGGGTATTCGAGGGTACCTTTTTGGGATCCTTTTTCTCAGGGGCTCCAAGGGGCTTAGGGTTTAGGGTAACTTGGTAGTGCGATAACCATACTACCATAAGGGTACCCTTTTTTTGGAGTTGGTGTTACCGTTTCAGGAAACCCAGAATCAACAAAAAACACAGGTACGGGGTACCCATAAACCCTAAACCCTAAACCCTCAACACGAAACCCTAAACCCTAAACCCTAAACCCCAAACCCTAAACCCTAAACCCTAAACCCTACCACTACGCTACACCAAGGAGCCAGGCAGTAAGGATCCGAGGCTGAGAACCGGTCCATGGCGGCAACATCGTGGGCTCTGTCGCAGGACACCGTAACCGTGAGTGAAGCACATAGCTCTTCTTGGCCTTCATGGGTTTTAGGGTTTAGGGTTTAGGGTTTAGGGTTTAGGGTTTAGGGTTTAGGGTCTAGGGCTCCCCTCCCTATGGTTCGATAAGCCCATGATGCCTGGGTTGCACGCCTCTGGCACTCCCATCTCAACTTTCGTTGTGAAAGCGACCGTGCCGATCGATCCTTTCTCAGCCTTCTTCAGGCTCTTGGTACCGCGATTCTTGTTGGGCCGCAACGGTAAGGAATAGCTCTTCTCCTAGGCGGGCCAACCCTAAACCCGAAACCCTAAACCCTAAACCCGAAACCCGAAACCCTAAACCCTAAAGCCTAAACCCTAGACCAAAAGCCATCCGCGTCTCTCCCAAGGACAAGCTCACACCAACTTCGCCGATGAACTCGGAGGTGGTCACGTCGCTGTCCCAAACCTCAGGGGATTTAGGGGTTTAGTGGTTTTAGGGTTTTGGGGTTTGGGGGTTTAGGGTTTAGGGTTTAGGGTTTAGGGTTTAGGGTTTAGGGTTTAGGGTCGCAGACCTCAGGCGAGGGGGGGGGGGGGGGGGATTTTTAGAGTGGGTTTGGCGGGGTGGTTTTTAAGGGTTTCGAGTGGTTTTTTTGCGGAGATTTTCGGGGGATTTAGGGGGTTTTAGGGGCTTTAGGGTTTTTTGAGGAGTTTAGGGATCAGGGCTTATTGGCTGGGGTGCACTTTTAGGGTTTGGGTTTAGGGTTTAGGGTTTAGGGCCAACCTCCACCATGAGCGGGAAGGCACCGGCAGGAGGCTTGAAGGAGCCTGCTTGATGAGGGAGCCTAGCAAACCCTAAACCCTAAACCCTAAACCCTAAACCCTAGACCCTAGACCCTAAACCCTAAACCCTAAACCCTAAACCCTAAACCCTAAACCCTAAACCCTAAACCCTAAACCCTAAACCCTAAACCCTACCCCCCCCCCAAAAAAAAGAAAAGGGCACCACTGGGCTACCAAGCCTGTGAGGTTGTTCACAGCCTCACCAGCCAGGTCATCCACGCTGTCCAGCTCGTTCATGGAACTTTGCAGGAACTCGAACTCCTTGGTAGGGTTTGGGGTTTAGGGTTTGGGGTTTGGGGTTTAGGGTTTAGGGTTTGGGGTTTGGGGTTTGGGGTTTGGGGTTTAGGGTTTAGGGTTTAGGGTTTAGGGTTGAGGGTCTGGGGTTTAGGGTTTAGGGTTTCGGGTTTAGGGCTTAGGGACGTGGTCCCTTAGTATGGGCTCGTAAAAGGGGGCCTCTTATATACCCCTGATATACCCTAAACCCTAAACCCCAAGGGTTAGGGGGTTTAGGGTTTAGGGTTTAGGGAAAGAAACCCCACAAGAAACGGCACAACACTGGGCTGCCCAAGAGTCTTTCATGGTTGAGCTTAAGATGGATGCATGCCTCATCTTTTTGTATGCTTTTACCGGATACAGAGACCTTAGTTGCTGAGTTCGTAAGTCACAAAAGTGTGCACTTTCAGCTCTATAGGGGGTTATAGTATCCCCAAAAAAGTGGGGTTTCAGAAATTAGGGGTACCATCCTCGGGTCCCTACTATTTGGGGCTGTGCTTAGGGGTCCCCTTATTTTCGTAAGCCCCAACAAAGTGTAAAGCTAGACCCCAGGAGTAGCCTAGGACCCAGGAATAAAATGGGCACCCTTTTTGGTTCTAAGGGGATTATGAGGGAACCCCAAACCCTAAAGAAAGGAAATAAAGGCCTGCACCCTAAACCCTAAACCCTAAACCCCAAACCTTACTCATTCAGCCACAAAGAGGCTGTATCAAGCCTGGCGATTCCGCCTGCTGATCGGTCAAGTACCTCGAAGCATGCCCTAAACCCTAAGACCCTAAGACCCTAAGACCCTAAGACCCTAAGACCCTAAGACCCTAAGACCCTAAGACCCTAAGACCCTCAGACACCTAGACCCCAAGACCCCAAGACCCCTAGAACCTAAAACCCTAAAAACCTAAGACGCCAAGACCCTAAGCCCTGAAGCCCTGAACCCCCAAAAACCCTAAAACCCTGAACCCCTAAAACCCTAGAACCCTAAAACCCTAAAAACCCTAAAACCCTAAACCCCTAAAACCCTAAAACCCTAAAACCCTAAAAACCCTAAAACCCTAAAGCCCTAAAACCCTAAAAACCCTAAAACCCTAAAACCCTAAACCCTAAAAACCCTAAAACCCTAAAAACCCTAAGGCCCTCATGTACCTCGAAGCTTGCACGGTTTCGTAGAGAACCGACTCGGCACCTCGGCAGCCCCAGCGGCCATATTGCAACAAGGGGGTTTAGGGTTTAGGGTTTAGGGTTTAGGGTTTAGGGTTTAGGGTAACTTGGTAGCCCAGTACATAACCATATGGGGGTTTACGAAAACAGGGGTACCCTTTTTTCGGGTCCTTCTTTATAGGGGGATCCTACTCTTGCCAATAAGGGCACCCTGTTTTGTGTTTCTTGCTCCATAAGGGAACCCAGAAACCAAAAAAAAGAAAAACAAAGCAAAGGGTAAAAGGGTACCTCTGGGCTCCCGAGGCGCGCTTCAGCAGGATGGGATCCTCCAGGAAGGGCCTCTTGGCTGCACTTAGGAGGGTCTTTTAGCTGCCTTATTAAGAAACCCAATTAATGTAAAGTAACCCTAAACCCTAAACCCTAAACCCTAAACCCTAAACCCTTAACCCTTAACCCAAAAAGGCTAAAGATGTAAAGTTACAGTAAAGCACCAGAGAGGCCTGCAAGAGCATTGTGTGGTCGACTCCTCGAAGGTGGAGCAGGTGTTGGCGTTGCAGGCCTCCTCCTCCACGTCCATTTCTGCATCGCTGCCCTCCGCCCTACCTTAAAGGACCACATGAACCCCTAAAGTTGGGGTCATGTTCCCCTACGACTATAACTCCCATGATGGTAATGTGAATCAAAAACCCTAAACCCTAAACCCTAAACCCTAAACCCTAAACCCTAAACCCTAAACCCTAAACCCTTTCAGAGTTCATTTCGTCCCCAAGGTACGGTAGGACTGGCAAAGCCCGAATAGCAGGACGAGAGCCAACCTTGGTGGTCCAGTAACCGTATTCTAACAAGGGCACCCTGATTTCTGGGTTTAGGGTTTAGGTTTACTTTATAAGGGGACCTCGAACTTCAAAAAAAGGGAAAAGGGTACCACTGGGCTACCAAGCAACGCACGCAACATGGCCAAGCTTTGCATGGATTCTTCTTTGGAAAGCAACGCGGGAACTGAGATCTGGCTTGAGAGTCCGATGGCTCGCACCCAGCAACCCTAAAGGTTTAGGGTTTAGGGTTTGGGGTTTGGGGTTTAGGGTTTAGGGTTTGGTGCTCCGCAGGGCAGGGTTGACTGGAGTGAAATACAGGGCCGTACAGCCATCACACGTCGTACACTAAACCCCGAACTCGAAACTCTATAACCGCCCAGAAACCATGTGACCATCTGTGAGGGTTTAGGGTTTAGGGTTTAGGGTTTAGGGTTAGGGTTTAGGATTTAGGGTTTAGCCCTTCCCACGCAATCCCAATTTGCTTCGCCATCAAGTGGCAAGAGGCTCATGGAGCTCAGGCACCCGTCGCGGATTTGGGGAGTGATGTAAACCGTGGGCCCTTGGACGTCCTTGAAGAACTTCGCAAGGAGTCAGCACGAAAAGGGATTCCGAGATACCCTTCGTTGCCGCTGAATAGCTTTATGAGGGAACCTTCTGAGTGAAAAGGGAATGGGGCACCATCTGGTCCTAAACCCTAAGGCCTCGACCCTTAACCCTGTATGGTTTAGGGGTTAGGGTTTAACGTTGAGGGTTTAAGCTTAGGGCTTAGGGAAGGGTACAAGTCTCCCTCCCTAGAACGATATGCCGCCATATGCTACAAGTGGAGAAGGTCATGACGAGGATAAACTGATGAAGGTAACACAGGATTTGCATTGTCGGTCCATCATGCTATATGCATGACTGAGTTGACCCCCCGAAGTCTCCACCCTGTTTAGGGTTTAGAACACGAAATCCTAAGCCCCAAGCCCTAAACCCCAAACCCCAAACCCTAAACCCTAAACCCTAAACCCTAAACCCTAAACCCTGACCACACCCCAAAGCCCCCAAAAGCCCACCGAGCATCTGCTTCCGGCCTGCACGAGCAGGTCGGCGGCGTACGCCTGGCAAAGAGGAGCCCCCCCTGGAGGTTCAGGGTGCGTATTCACCAACTAGAACTGTACGTATAGGGTTTAGGGTTTAGGGTTTAGGGTTTAGGGTTTAGGGTTTAGGGTTTAGGGTTTAGGGTTTAGGGTTTAGGGTTTAGGGTTTAGGGTTTAGGGTTTAGGGTCTGGAGAGCTCAGTAACTCTCAGGGTTAGGGGTTTAGGGTTTTAGGGTCTTAGGGCTTAGGGGTATAGGTTTTAGGGTTTAGGGTTTTAGGGTTTAGGGCTTAGGGATGTAGGGTCTTAGGGATTAGGGTTTTAGGGCTTTAGAGTTTTAGGGTTTAGGATAATTTTCGGGTTTCAGGGTTTAGGGTTTTAGGGGTTTAGGGTTTTCGGGTTTTGGGGTTTTATACTTGGTGCCTTAGCACCGGGGACTGTTATAGGGGGAAGCAGTAGGCGCCAAGTGTGGAAAAACCTGGCCAAAGGGGCGGTTTAAGGGTTTGAGGACGAAACCGACCCTAAACCCCTTACACCCCCTAAACCCCCTAAACCCCCCAACCCACCCCCCCCCCCCCCCCCCCCCCCCCAAAACCCCAAAACCCCCGAACCCCCAAAACCCCCAAAAACCCCCAAACCCCCAAAACCCCCAAAACCCCCAAAACCCCCCAAAACCCCCCTAAATCCCCCAAAACCCCCAAAACCCCCTCAGCCCCCTAGGCCCCCCTAAGCCCCCCCCTAACACACCCTAAACCCAGCTAAACCCCCTAAACCCTAAACCCCCCCAACACACCCTAAACCCAGCTAAACCAACTAAACCCTAAACCCCCCCAACACACCCTAAACCCAGCTAAACCCCCTAAACCCTAAACCCCCTGAACTAAACCCCAAAAAACCCTTTCGAACAGGTGCGGACATCCTTGTCGACCTGCGGCGTATACTGCCGGGATGATTGGCTCTCCAGAGCCCCGAGGATGGCTCAGTCTGTGGGGGTTTAGGGTTTAGGGTACCCTTTAGGTTTAGGGTTTAGGGTTTAGGGTTTAGGGTTTAGGGTTTAGGGTTTAGTGTTTAGGGTTTAGGGTTTAGGGTTCACTGGCGATTCTGGCGTCTTGCGACGTCTTTTCCATCCCTCCCACAATGCGCCGATGTCTCTTTGGCGATGATGAGCTGAAGGTTTGTGCCCACCTTTGAGGCGACTCGAGAGGGCCGGTGAAGTCGGCGACTCGAGAGGGTGAAGTCGGTGACAGCTGCATCTCCTCAACGTCCAGGGTTTAGGGTTTAGGGTTTAGGGTTTAGGGTTTAGGGTTTAGGGTTTAGGGTTTAGGGTTTAGGGTTTAGGGTTTAGGGTTTAGGGTTTATGACGAAGGGGGCTCCCAGTCAAGGGATTGGGTCTTAGTTCTCGCGCTTTGAGAACTGGATGCCCCGGTGTGCCCCGCCTTAAATGCTGGCCCCGTCGCAAGTGCACCAAGTGCTTTCAAAGAGGAGAAAACGGCGAAGCCTCCTGGCCCCCCCCTTAAACCTTTTAACCCCTACGGATTTACCTTCTCCTCCAATGGCGGGCGCACGTGCCGATCTGGCATCTAGGTCTTGAATTCCTCGAAGCCGGGGTGAGAGATGACCAAATCGTAGCCAGCATTGTGCACAGCCTCACGATCCTCAATACTTAGGGTTCAGGGGTTCAGGGGTTCAGGGTCTAGGGTCTAGGGTTTATAGGGCTTATAGGGCTTATAGGGTTTACAGGGTTTATAGGGTTTATAGGGTTTATAGGGTTTATAGGGTTTATAGGGTTTATAGGGTTTATAGGGTTTATAGGGTTTATAGGGTTTATAGGGTCAAAAGAAACGCGTCAGCCTGAACCTCCTGAATCCCCTAAACCATGAACCCTTAAATCTGAACTGCCTGCAGCGCGGTGAGTCCGGTCAGCGTCCTAAGGGCCGCCACTGCGTCCTGCGAGGGTTCAGGGTTCAGGGTTCAGGGTTCAGGGTTCAGGGTTTAGGGTTTAGGGTTTAGGGTTCAGGGCTTAGGGTTTAGGTCGAGAGTCTGGGGTTCGGGGCTGACGTTTTCGGGCTTTGACGCACGCCCCACAACCTGCCCTTAGTCCTCCAAACCCTAAACCCTAAACCCTAAACCCTAGACCCTAAATCCTAAACCCGAAACCCTAAACCAATAAACCCTAAACCCTAAACCCTAACACAGCCTAAACCCTACAAACAAGCCCCCTAAGCCCTACAGCCCAAATCCTCCCTAGCCCGATAAACAAACCCCCCTAACCCTAAACCCTAAACCCTAGACCCTAGAACCCTAAACCCTGAACCGTAACACCCCAAAAACCCCCCAAAAAAACCCAGAACATCTGCCTAGTATAGGGTGCTTAATTATGAGAATGTTTTTTTTTTTGGGGGGGGTGTTATATGGGACCATAAGGGAAAAAATATATTAGCAATTCTTCCGACCCCTATATTACGACCCTGCAGCTCCTCTGCAAACTCCACGGCCTCCCGACCAAGACCTGAAGGTTTTGAAGGCGGAGGGCCCGGGCATTGATTTAGGGTTTAGGGTTTAGGGTTTAGGGTTTAGGGTTTAGGGCTTGGGGTTTCGGGTTTAGGGTTCAGGGTTCAGGGTTTGGTTTAGGGTTTCGGCTTGGGGCTTATAGAACCTAAGCACACTAACCCCTCACCCCGCTATGCGGGATAGAGGTTTCGAGATCTCTGCAGTTCGGTCTTGGACACCTCTTCATTATGGAACTGGCCTTAAACTGTGTTGATATAGGGGGAGGTGGGGTATTCCCTACATGGGGGTTTCCGAAATTAGGGGTACCTTACTGGGGTCCTGATTAGAAGGGAATCCTACTATTTGGCTATTTTAGGGGTCCCTTATTTTCGTAAACCCCCACATAAGTTGTAGTAGGTATCCCAGTCACCCGCGAACTGGGAACCAGGACCTTCTGTGCTTTAAAAGCCTAAGCCCGAAACCATACATCGTAACAGAGAGAACAAAAGCACAAATATGGCACCACACAAAATCACCGCATAGGTTGTACAAGGAGGGGCAGTATCCTCATCACCCATATTTTAGTGTCCTTAGAACTCTACTGTAACTAGGAGGGTGGGGGGGGGGGGGGTCCTTGTAAACCATAAACCAGAAACCCTGAAGAAAGCACCATTGACCCCACAGGATCATCACATAGGTTGGAGGCTTAGCGCTTTCTCTTAGGGTTACATGATCCCTTTATATGAGACCTTGAAAGGGCCCGTATATATCCTATACAACCCAAGGGCCCGTACATCAGAAGCCTTTCAGGGAGGCAAGGGACCACAATAAGGGACACTACCCTTAGATTGTCGAGCTTGCGGAAATCGAGTTGAGGTAAGGAGGGCTTCCCTTTCAAGGCTGTCGTGTGGTCAGCAAAAGACCCCCCCCCCCCAAAGAAAGACCCTAAACCAAAAAACCCTAAACCCTAAACCCTAGACCCTAGACCCTAAACCAGGGTTTTCACAAAAGGGAATGGCCCCCCCATTCTGGCTGCACCAGATATCGATACCAAGATTGTAGAACCAAGCCTAGAGTTTGAGGTCAATGCCCCATGTACGGGCCATACCCTCAACCCTAAACCCTAAACCCTAAACCCTAAACCCTAAACCCTAAACCCTAAACCCTAAACCCTGAACCCTACTTGGGATCCCAG